TCCTGCCCCTGGGACAGGTCTGATGGTGCTTACCAGCCCCTCCTCCCCGGGTCGCAGCGAGGTAACGGCCAGGTCATTGCCGCTCTCATCAAAGGCGTTGATGTCGATTCCCCAGTTGGTGTGGGGCTGTTTGAACCAGTTCTGCAGAACGTGCTTAAAGTCAATACTCTGCCAGTGGCCGACCCTGGAGTTGAGCTCTATCTTCAGGGAGCGGATGCGGATGTGGCGGCTGCCCTGATCCGTGACGGGCTTCAGCCGGAGGATCTGCAGGTAGACGGTGGAGGTCTGCTGCAGCGGCCGCAGGTAGACCCACAGCTGGGCCTTCAGCACCTTGGTGAACATCAGCTTGGGGCTGAACTTGAAGAAGCAGCAGCTCGGCTTCCCGTTCACCTGCACCAGGGGCTCCGCTGTGGACAAGAGGACACATGTAAACATCTTTAAGCAGTATACTTCATAATATATCATTAAGATCGTCAACATTGAAATAGCACTGAGAACTGTTTCTATAACGTCATTCCCAATTTCTGTCTCTTCTCAATTCCTTTCGTATGTCTTCTTTCAAAGGCATACAAACACCCCCAAAAAGAATGTTACAAATAACTTTATCACAACATGCATTTTGCTTCAATGTGTGTGCCAACATATTTGTATTAAGTAGTTTTGCTCTTCTGTAAAAAACATTAAGGCTTCAATGTTTTCACCAGAGTTTCTGTTGATTGAATTTGGAATTTAGCAGGCTGTGCTTTTTCCAATCCATCCATGCTCATCACACTGTGCGTCAGAGGGGTCCAAAGCACTGTGTTTAGAAGAGCAAAGGCATAATACACTGCTGCTGTAACAAAATGATTTCCCAATTTGGGATCAATAAAGAATCTATCTATCTATATATATATATATATATATATATATATATATATATATATATATACATATATATATTCTTTCATCCACTCCCACTCAATGTACATTTCCAAGTCACAAATCATGGAGTGTTCAAAGTAGTTGTATTAAATATTATAAACGTACATGCCCAACTCACAGTTTCTTTTTGATTGCCATACTATGTCTAACTTCAGATTTTAGCTAAGTTATCTGATGAGCACACGGTGGTGTTGTTTGGTCCATTCAGTCAAGTTACATTTGTGATCACATCAAAGTTGGAGAACAGTTCTATTTGCATATTAAAAAAAGGATCAGTAATGGTGGCCAGTGGCCAGATGGTAACCTTAGATTCCCCCGGGTCAATCGTAATGAAATGGTCTACCCCACATCACAACTAGCAAGAGCTTTTTTTAATGGCTCGCACTTGCTGAAAATATATTTGGGGTGTGGATTAAGGGTTATGTCAAAGAACACTAGCCTTCTCCTAAAATAGGCAGATTTATTCCTGTCATGATCCTCGGCTCTGGAGTTTCTGTGATTTGCACCACATGTCAAATCTGCTCATGGTTCATTTACATATACTTCCATCTGATATAATGACATCCATCCATTGCATTCATACATTAATTTCCATGTAAAGCGTTCATTTATGAAGGGAAATGTATTCTGCATCTATCTGGCACAATAATGTGCCAACTGAATACAATAGAATATCTAATCTGCCCATTTTCTCTGAGCATATTTGACATATCACAAATCTAGATTTGTGCAAAAATAAACATTTCACCTTTTTTTGTCAATAATCTTGTAGAGGAGTGTAGTTGTTTCTCCTCCTGAAAAAAGCAGATAAAAAACAGTTCGGACCTGTCAATCATTGCTAAATCTGAGGTTGCTCAGGCAACCTGCAAATGCTTCCTGGGTCAAAAGGTTATTTGGCACCTCAGCCTAGTTAAGAAATGGGATCAGGGGTCAAAACCGTCAGCCTCTTTACATCTCAGGGGTGCTGGGGAGGGGCAGCCCTAATAGCCAGATTGAGTTTGAAGGTCAAGGTCGACCCCATGGCAATTGTAAAAAGCCTTTTTTCGAACCAGAGAAACAAAACAAAATCCCAAAGATACATCAACGCAAAATCAGAAACAGTTTGTTTTTGTTTTGATTAGGGAAGAGATTCTCCAGCCAATAGTGATTTGTTTATCAAACCTCAATTGACCGAGAGAGAACACTGCAACCGGCTGTTTTTTTGTTTTTGTTTTTTTTACACCAAACAAGTGTTGTAATTGAATTATGGTCATGCATTGAGGGATATGAATTCACCGAGGTACAGATGGACTATCCATTAGAAGAGTCCAGGGCGAGCGTTGAATAAGGGCCAAGCCGGAGACAGACGTGGTCCTTCAGCCTGTATTTCCAGGGACAGTCATTAGCGAGTGTAAATTATACAGTGTCTCACGCTGGACAAACAATATGTCAATGTTCCTTTTGGTGGGTTGCTGGGGTCACAGCAATTAACGTGGATGGTGTTGTGTTTGCTCATCAGCACAAAACTGGGAATGAATCATTCTGCAGTTTGTTTGGTGTTTACTACTTTTTGTTGTTTTTAATCGCTGCAGATGGGGACTGACACACACCAGCTCTTCCTTTGCAAACAGTTTGTACTGCTTTTGTTGGGCTTCCAGGAGGATAAAAGAAACAAACCACTAAACACAGCAGAGCTGAAAGGGTTTAGCTTCACAAGCAGAGGCCTTTTCTTAAGGAGTAATCTGAGAAGCCCGGCCCATACACCGTGATCCAGTTAGGACCTGGGTTATTAAACACACATGCACAACATATGAGCTACGTCATGTTAAACAATGACTGCATTGATAGGTGGAATCAATTTGGGCCTTTATAGATCCTGTAAGTTACAAGTAAGAGGCAAACCATGTAGGATGAATGCCTGCAGCTTAATTACACCCACATCTTGGCAGAGCGTTCCACTTCTGCAACACGAGCAGAGCTAGCTTGTAAAGATCAGAAACCAGTGGGACATTTAAAGCTTCTACCTGAAATACCTCATCTCCTGCAGCCATAACACAATATTGCTTAGAGAGCTCATATTTTTACTGCAACTGCAGGACTGTTTTTATGGCTAATTTCCTGAAACATTTGCTCAGTTATCCTTCAGTGCATAACTGATTTCAGTCTTGCAGTCAGGACATGAATTCTGATTTTGCATTCAGCACCACCTACTGGAGCAACGACACCTCTCTCCTTAGCCAAACTGGAGATGCAGAGGGACAGATGTCCCTATACAGTAATACAACTTATTTTATTTTAAAAGCAAAAGACAAGTTAGGTGAAGTATGGACGCAGGCTGTGTTTTTCCAAAGGAAACAGGGTTGTTTGCTTTTCTTTCTCATGTTTCCAGTCTACTTCATTATTACAGCAGCTTATTTCCCTGTGGTATAATTGCTGCATATGCAGCGCATTAATTTTACTGCCAGCGCGCAGCAGGCCTGCAGGTGAGCCTATCAAACATCTGGTGGGCTCCCTGGGTACCTGTGTCCCATAGTGAGCCCCGAGCCTCCTATACATGCATGTTATGGGGAAACATATAGCATATAAGGGTTTATTCAGCATGCCATCTGCCCGTTTTAATATGACCGTAGCCTGTTTCAAACTTAAATGCTTTCAATAATCAAATGCAGTAATGTTGAGCCAGTTAAACAGTTAAAAAACAGATGGAGAGGAAGAGTTAAGATGCAGTTATTCACTGAATAGTTAACACATGTTACAAGTGAGGGGGCTGTATGTTATGTTGGCAGTATTACATGGTAGACTCTAGTCAAATGGTTCTATCTTTGATTACCAAGGAAGAGAAAAAGTAAACATAACATGATAAAATACTCAAGAAATACAAGAAAGAAAGTTTAAGAAATCTAAATTACAGAATTTTCTTTGTTAAATGTGAGGCACAAAAGTAAATTATTTCACAATGAATGGTGTCAGTTTGGCAGGACTTTATAAATAAACCTTGTTTCATCTCAAAATGTTTCTGAATTAAAAAGAAAATTACACCTTTCTCATTAAAAACGTATTTTTGAGTTCACTTCCTCATGCAAACTCTTGAAAGGTGGCGGTGTGCATGTTGTGTACATAGTATGTAACATGTGCCATCAGGTGAAAATCTGTGGCTAAAATGAGGTGGGGAAAGAAATGGTCATATATTGTTAATGTCCAAAAGGACAATGCAAAATGGTATAAACCTAGATAGGAGTTTGATTTGCATATATATTTTTTTCCTAATGGGAAATGCAAATGTGATATTTTGTGGTGAGTGTGTGTTTGGGAGCCCTCATGTTGAATAAATGTGACTCTAGGGTATCCCCACGCACCTCGGCATATTAATCATCGTGACACGTTCACGACCCTTCTAATAAGACAGGGGCCACAGTGCACCCCCTCAAACATCCCATCCCACCCCAGCCCCACTCCCTCTTTGTCTCTCGGTCAGTCCCAAGGGACGGGAGAGGGTGGTGGGGGAGGCCTGGCTCGAGCTGGGGATAGAGAGGAGGGGGTGTGTGTGTGAAGTTAGACCCCCTCATTCAGAAGCCCTCCCTTGAGACAACGGCAGGCACAAGACTCCTATTAGGACTGAGCACAGTAGCCCCCCAGGAGCAACAAAAGACACCTCCTAATGCTCCCTGTTCTAGCTCAGTGAACTCACACACACACACGCACACGCACACACACACACACACACACACACACACACACACACACACACACACACACACACACACACGCACACACACACACACACACACACACACACACACACACACACACACACACACACACACACACACACACACACACACACACACACACACACACACACACACACTGAGAGGCACACACGCACACATCTGGGGGTATACTACGAAGCAGGATTTTCGCTTAGCCGGCTAACTTCAGGGAAAACTCGGGGTTTCCGGTCCTACGAAGCTGGTTCTCTTTTTAGCAGGCTAGATCTCAATGGTAACTTATGCTGTGCGGCTAACCTGCCCCGGAGCAGGTTAGGTTGCAGGCTAAGAGCTCAACTCAGTGAAAGCACCGCCTGCTGACCAATCAGAGCTCAGTGTGCGGAGTTTAAAGCGATCAAGTCATATTACAGGAGAAAGGAAATACAGAAAAGCTGCCGTTGCAGGAAAGACGGCCGGCAAAAATCACCGACTGTGTGAACGTGAACATTAATAGAATATGACCTCCCATCTTCAGAGCAATTGGACTATTATAACATTAGCGTTAAGAAAGCTTACTTACATATCTGCTACAACATAAGTAACCGGATCAGAGTAACATTAAGTACAGTCCGCGGCATCTGGCCGTGCAACACTCGTAGTGTCACGTACTGTATGCAGAAGTATTATTTTAAGCAACACATTAAGTTGACGAAACACTCGAGAAAAATGTAATTAAAGTCAGATCGTGTCTTAGACGGGGCAGTGATATCATAAACCTTTTAATGTACGCATTCAAACGC